CTTCACCCCCTCTTCCCCTCCCCACCTTCAAACACTTTAATTCCATTTTTATATTTTCTCATTTTTTTTTTCTTTTCCCTTATTCCCCTTTCCCTATCCTTCTCACTGTCCCTACACCTTTGGTCCTTTTCTTCCTATTTCATGTTGCTAATTGTCCCATTAGGATCTTGAGTTACTATTTTAGTTTTTCACACCAGAGAAACTGTTTGGTTTTTGCATATGTGTAACTTATTTATGTCACTTAGGAGAATATCCTCAAAATGTACCCATTTACCTATGAACGAATCTATTTTCTCATTCTTTATGGCTGAGTAGTATTCCATTTTATAGAAAAACCACATCTTCTTTATCCAGTTTCCAACTGATGGGCAGACGGGCTGTTTCCAAGTTTTTGCTATTACAAACTGTGCCGCTATAAACATGGGTGTGCATATATCACTGTGGTACGATTCTTTTTGTTGTTGTGTGATTTCTTGATAGCAGCCATTCTTTGTGGGATGAGGTGAAATCTCAGTGTTGTTTTCATCTACATCTCTCGAATGATCAGTGATATGGAGCTTTTTTTCATATATTTACTTGCTGCTTTTATTTCTTTGTCTGAGAAATGTCTGTTCATTTCAGATGCCCATTTTAGAATTGGGTCTTTATATTTGGGGGAGGGCTGGTTGTTTTGAGTTCTTTAATAAGATGAGATCCCAGTTGTTGATTCTTTCTGCTAGTTCCCGTGCTACTGAGGATTTGTTCATAAAGTCTTTTCCTATGCAAATGTCTTCCAGAGTTCTGCCTAACTTATCTTCCAGCAAGTTTAGTGTTTTTGTTTTTATATTTAGATCTTTAAGCCACTTGGATTTTAATTTAGTGCATAGTGACAGATAAGGGTCTAGTTTTAATCTTTTGCAGGTTGAGATCCAGTTTTTCCAACACCATTTATTAAAGAGGCTATCTTTCCTCCAGTGGGGACGGTCACCTCCTTTGTCAAAGATGAGGTAGCTGAGTGCATCTGGAGTTGTTTTTGTGTCTTCCAATCTGTTCCACTGATCCTCAGGTCTGTTTCTTTGCCAGTACCATGCTGTTTTTATCACAGTGGCTTTGTAGTATAGTTTCAAATTGGGAATTGTTATACCCACTGCCATGTGTCTGTTGGCAGTTTATACTTATTAATGAAAGTTTTTGCTATACTACTGGCTACTGACTACCTTGGCTCTTGGGAAGAAGTAAAATAATTTATTTATTTTTGTTTGTTTGTTTGTTTTTTGTACCAGGGATCAAACTCAGGTCCTTGTGCTTGCAAGGCAGGCCTTGGAACCACTGAGCTAAATCCCCAGCTGTAAAATAATTTATGTAAAGGAATGAACACTGAACCCAGCACACAGTGAACATTTAAATAGATGTCAGCTAGTCTATCAGGATAGGATAGATAATTCTAAAACAACCTCAAGCAACACCTATCTATTATGTCCATATTTCACTGATCAAAGCAAATCATATGGCTAGAATTCAACAGGGTGGGGACGCAGAGTCTCTCCACAAAAATGGATATCCAGTAGGGGTGAAAACAGAACTGACTTCAATTCGTATTACTTAGTGACAGAGTTTGTCCTTTGTGTTGTTAGTGGTTAGCCTCTTGCAACCTAATTTCAATCCCAACTAATCAATTCAAAATTATAGCCAGTGATATCTTTTTTCTGTCACTTGAGTTGTCTGAAAATTGCTCTTTGTAAATCCTCTTTTCTTCATTCTATCTTACAGGAAAATCAGAAAAGGAAAGCCTGTGTCTAAAAGAAAAGATTTAAGAACTAAAGGTAACCTGGAAAAATGAAACAGCATAATTTGGATGTTTGAGACAGGAAAAAAAAATATGTATCTTAACACATTGCTCCCTAATCATACATACTAATGTGTGCATGTATGTGCTATATTAGCCTTTGGTCCACTTCTGATTGCTGTTGTCTAAAAAAGTGTGTTTATTAATTCTGTAAGATGAGTCACTATGTTGCCTAGGTTAGCCTTAAACTCCCAATCCTCCCACCTCAGCCTAGGATTATAGGCGAGAGCAAAAAGTAGAGTTTTTATTTGATAAAATCCAATGCTGATTCATGACTTAAAAAACCAACATAAATATACCTATAAACAAACCAGGATCCTGCAACTTCATAAGGAACATCTACAAAGTCACCTACACCCACGAGCATACTTAAAGATGATAGGCTTTCAGATTAAGATTGGGAACAAGGCAGGATGCCTCTCCCAGAATTCCTACTCAGTACCACACTAGAAACACAGCTAATGCGGTAAGGAATAAAAAATAAAACTTTATACAGATTGGGGAGGAAGATATAAAACTGTCCATGTAGAAAAATTTTAAAATGCCATCAAAAAAGTCTTGGAACTATTAAGTAATTATAGAAGGTGGCTGGCTATAGGATGAACACAAGAAAGAATTGCTTTTCTATGTACCAGTAATTAATATATATGATCCACTAATTGCCCTTTTAGGAGTTTATCCACGAGTCAAAAATTCATTTCAAAGAAAAACTCTCATACACACATTTATAGCAGCTTTATTCATAACTGCCAAAACTTGGAATTAACCAAGATATCCTTCAACAGTAAATGGATAAACCACTCTGGTGGTACATTTATAAAATAGAATATTATTTAGTAATAAAAAGAAACACAGAATCAAGCTGTGAAAAAGACAGAGAGCCTTAAATATAAGTATTAAACAATACTGCTAGTGTTTTTTGGGGGGTAAAGAGTGGAAGAAGCTAGGAACATGATGGAATGCAGAGTAGTTTTAGGGCAACAAAACTATTCTGTATAATGCTGTAACGGTACATACATAACATTATGTATTTTTCTCAAGCCATAAAACTTAAAGACAAAGAATGAACCTAATGTAAACTACTGGCTTTAGTTGATAATGTATATACGTAAAGATAGAAAGAACAATAAAAACAATTCAAAATTATTTAGTAATGATGTCACTCTCTCTAGACTGGACCTCAGTTTCCCTCGCTCCCCCTCCACTCTAACCCCCCCCCATTGGGGATTGCATCCAGGGCCCCTGAACTGAGCTATATCCCCAACTATTTTTTATTTTGAGACAATGCCTTACTCAGTTATTAAGTTGCCCAGACTGGGCTTGAATTTGTGATCTTTCTGTCTCAGCTCCCCGAGTGCTGGGATTATAGGCATGTGTCGCCACACTCAGCCTGGACCTTGGTTTCTTATTGGAAGTAATGTTTCCAGAGTCTCTTATATGCAATGTTAACATATACCAAGAATTTAGATGTAGAAAAATGTAGAAAGTTTTATATATATAAAAAGCCTTTATGTTTAATGTAACAGTTTCAGAGGTTCCTTGATTTTAGCTTCATACTAGCTAATCAGCATACTATAGTAATGAGTATAATGAGAAATGGATACTTTCTTACAAATAGTTCTTGAAGAATTCTTCCTAAAATTATGAAAGGCTAACCCCATTAAAACTGAGCTCTGCACAAGGGCAGAAATAGCTACTTATTTTTGGAAAAAAAGATTTGATTTTTCCCCTATTATCAACTTTTTAATAAACTCTTATTTGTATGTAGATATAAGATATTAGAGAAACAATGATATGGATTACTTCTCTAAAATGAATATCCCTATTTAAACTCAAATCAGCAACAAAACAGGAGCATAATTCTAAAATTCCAAGTTTCTTTTTCCCTTGAGACAGTCTCACTAAGTTGCCCAGGTTGTCTTTGAACTTGTATTCCATCTATCTCAGCCTCTAGAACAGCTGGGTTTTCAGACATGCATGACTGTGCCCAGCTTAAAATTCCAAGTTTTAAACTTTCATAAACTTGGAAAAATTACGCATTATGGGTTAATTCTCAAAGTATTTTCCTGACCATTAATTCAGTACCTTTCTTTTTCTTCTTCCCTCCCTACTGCCCCCACCCCTCTCTTTTTTTTGGTACCAGGGATTGAACTCAGGACCTTGTGCTTGCAGGGCAGGCGGCAGCACCGAGCTAAATAAATCCCCACCTAGTACCTTTCTGAACTAAGCAGACAAGCAACCCCTTAATACTTACCATAGCTGTTTGAGAAATGAATTCATTCTAATATACAGATTGTACTTTTTTTAGTGCTGATTTTTACTGAACAATTCATTTCTCTGTGACACCCTTTTACAGGAACTTCCCGGTGAAGATTAAATATTTTCAAGTCATGATTTAAGGACAGGAACACAGTGAAGCAAGCAAGGCATGGAGGGCACAAAATTTAACAAGACTCTCATCCATAGACTTAAATGGTGCCTCAGGGACTGGGGATGTAGCTTAATGGCACCGCCTATGTAGTCCTAGGTTAAATCCCCAGTACTGAGGGGGAATAATCTGTACCTTCAGTATCTTGCTTACCTCTCTCACCCCAACCTAGCTCTGATGTTATTTTAGCATATTTGTGAATGACAAGGAAAACTTATCTTTGTCCTTTATTATTTTAACCACTAAAACCTTATCTTTCGGAAGAGGTACCTTTTCATACTTTTAAGTAAAGGCTTGAAAAAGTATTTAGCTGACATATGTCATGCTTCAGTTATATTCAGTAAGAATACCGTAATAATTGCCCAAGTGGATACATGGTGGCTGAAGAGGAGAGGAAGATGCTGCATCTCTGTTAATTACACTTTAAAATAAACTTCAACTACTAAAACAACAATTGTTTAGGCAGGAGAACCATTATTCCAAAATCTAGAAGAAAAAAATCTTCTGGCTGAACCACTTTAAACAAACAACTTTAATTGCTTAACTGTTCTTTTTCCTTTTCTCCTTTTAAATTCTCAACTCAAAAGGAAACTCAAAATTCTAAATCAAACTTAAAACAGTGATTTGAGGGTCAGAATGCTCAAAACCATAATTATATATAAATCTTAGATTTTAACTTCTGAAGTAAAAACACCAATAAGACAAAATCTCTTTCATTTTTGCTCATTAAAAGAAAGTTATTCTTACCAGATAAAGCAGAAAAGTGTGCAGCCCTGTTCCAAGCCCCACAGAAGACAAAATTCCCAAGCCTATCCAGTAGGCATACAGAAGAAATTGTTTCTCTATACGCTGTACATACTGAAAAATGAAAGAGATGGAAGTGAAAAGTCCAAATTCTTTATACAGAAAAGTAATATATGCAAACTACCATGAAAATAAAACAACTCAACTAAAACAGCAAGGAAATGTTAAGATCAAACACTCCTCAAAGAGATCTAATTTCGTTACTAGAGATGGCAAAACATTCATCTAACTACAATAAAGCTCACTTTCTAAGCCTTTAAAGCCCTACTGTTAAGAGAATACACAAAAGAAGCAAATGACTAATCAAATGAGAATAAAAATTTTTAAAGCTATTAAAATTTATAAAACTTCATGGGACAATTACATAATTTCTGTGAACAGAATATGTTCTTTCTTGATCATCCTACCAAAAAACAGAAATAATTTTTGTATATTTAAGACCATGATGCTTTTCAAACAAGAACAAAATGAAGTCTTGAGGCAAACAAAATCGTTAAATGAATTTCAGACTTATTAATAGAGAAATTTTGCTTGCTTTGGCAAGTAAAGTCAGCAAGCTAGTTCACTGGAATTTTTAATATACATAAAGATTACTTAAAAGAAATTCATTTAAAACTATAAAAAAATTCCTTGCAATTAAACTGTTTGAAAATATAAAACGATACCATTTTAGAAGCATTTCCTATTAGAATAATGCCTTGGTATTTTAATGAAAGGTGTTACTGAAATGTCTTATTTACCTATCAGTAATGTACTTGCTGACAACAGGCAAATGAATTTGTCTTTCATACAAAAAAAAAAAACTTAATCCTTAACTTAGAACAAGGCCTATCTATTTAGATGGATCACAAAAGCATATTATAGAAAATACAAAGACTCTGGCAGAGATGAAAGGAGTCATGCTGCTCTGACTCAGCAGTCAGGACAGTTACATTCAAACTTGAAAGCAGAAAGGAATCATGGATACCAAATACTTAACAATGCTGAGAAGCCATAAAATGGTACATGAACATTTTTAGGGTATGGCCTGAGCCCTGCTTAATCGCTTACCTGTTGATGTGCTCCTTCAACATAATACGTAGCTATCAGCACAGCAAGCAGCAGTAAAAAAGATACCACAATGCTTTGACGATGCCATAATCTTGAAAACAAATTAAAAAAAAAAAATCTCAATCATCTCACTTGCAGGATTACCATTCTCAAGAACAATTTGTTGATATAGTCTTGGGGGTGCTGAAAGGGGTCAAAGGAAAGTATGTGGGCACAGAACCAATTTTTGTCATAGATCCCATCATAGCCTTTTCCTTATCCAAAGCCTGGTCTTATTTATACCCCAATTTCTAAATGGAGAAACATTACAGTGTAAAAGAACACTCTTAGGTCAATGAACCTTGGACTAAGATTCTTAGTATTGCATTTTTAGCAAGATAATTAACCACTGGGATTTTTATTTTATTATTATTATTATTTTTTTTGCTTTTAATCATAATAATTTATTGCATTTTTAGCAAGATAATTAACCACTGGGATTTTTATTTTATTATTATTATTTTTTTTTTTGCTTTTAAAATCATAATAATCATTTTAACCTTTTTCATGGAGTTGTTATAGGCACTAAATGAGCTGAAAAAAGTGACAAAATGTTTTATAAACTCTAAGCATAATAAACTTTAATTAAAGTACAGATAATGTAGAAAGGCAAGCAAGAAAATGATCAGATGTACTAAAGTTCAACTTGCTCTCTATGTAGTTGAAGCAGGGCTTACAAGTACTAAGTTTAAAAGCAGAACACATATCCATGGCAGAGTACTTTTCCACTGGCTCAAATTATCATCAAAAGTGCCACATAATCTGAACCCTGTCCTGTTACAGAATCAGTGTAGTTAATGTACACAAGCCTGAAATCTCTTCAAGGTAAAACCAGGAGAGAAAAATCCATCTAATTTTCTCCCTTGCAAGACTGAACGTACAATAGTGGTCAACTATAAAAATCCGGCCAGCAAAAACAACAGGTTTCTATATCTATTTTCTTTAAACTAAATTCTGTAGTGTATTTTTCATCAAACTGTAGAAAGGAAAATAAATATGTTCCTATGATAATATTCTAAAGTTAATTAATTCATTTTGCTGGAGCAGATGGCAGGGAGTAGGAGACAGCTGAGGATTTCTACAATTAGAAAATGAGGTTTATATAAAAAGTAACAGAAGACTCTTTACTTTGAGGTCCATTCCTTTAAGATTACAAGGATTTCCAGAGAAAAATACTGCAAGGTAATGAGTGGTTGTCTCCACAGTACAATATTCTGTCTTTCTTCCCGATCCCTCCTCTTCTTTTCATTCATTGAAGAGGGGTCTGAAAAACAATAGCACAGAAGTCAAAACAGAATTTCTAACATTTAGGCTCACTTGTCTGAGTCATTTTAAAAAGAAACCCACTCTCCTACCCTAAACACTGCATATAAAACAGTTCAAGTATTAAGCCGAGATCGACCCTTCTTTAGAGGAGGCAACATGTGAAACATAATTCTTATTAATATAGGTGGTCCACTACAAGTGTGTCTGAAATCTAAAACAAAAAGTTAAGTATCACAGTAGTTTCCCATAACTTACCCTCAACTGGCATTTCACTGGGCTGTGTATCTGCTTGCCTTTTCCCTTTCAACGAGTGGCAACATTTCAGGGAATTCTTTTATTCAGTCTTTGAGAGGAATGGATGAAATGCACCCATGTCCCAGGTAACTATTAACAGCAAGTCATAAAGTCTTAAGAGATTACAACTTGTCCAGACTCAGCAATATCTAGTGGCTCAGAAAGGAGATGAATTATCACAGGTGCCACTTTTTATTTTTTTATTTTTTATATTTTTGGTGCCGTGGGTTGAACCCAGGTTCTCACGCATACTCTCCCTGACCTGACAGACGTGAACCTTTAGAAGATGTCCTAAATAATTAGTACTGAAAATATCAGCATTTGAATTTGGACTACAACTATAGTAGGTCTGGAGAAAAAACAAGTATGGGGCCAAGTGTTTCTGTCCCAATTTTAATGTTATTTTTGCAATTATTTTACTAACAGAAAACAAGCTTCTACTCTTATATGCTGCTCCAGTAAGTCTAAGTTGGTTAACCTTCTATGATGGGTATTATATAAACTTAGCACTGTATTACATACCAAAGTGGTCTAGATCTCATAATGTAAAGGCAAACTACTTGGCTCCAAATCCAAGACTGCCATCTGCTATTGATATGATCTTGGGCAGTTAATATTTCTGTGCCTCAGTTGCCTCTTCTGTAAAATGAGGATAACATTTGTAGGGTCACTGCAAGGGTCTTGTGACACAACCCACAGCACCAAAAAAAAAAGTGGCACCTGCGATAATTCATCTCCTTCCTGAGCCACTAGATATTGCTGAGTTTGGATAAATTGCAATCTCTTAAGACTTTATGACTTGTGACTTGAAGTTCTCAGAAGAGCCTGACACTTAGTAAATGCTCAACTAAGGTTTACTATCCTTATCATCACATATACTTTACCTGTGAAATTTCCATTGTGTTGTTCTTTGCTCATTGCTACACGTCTCTGGTCACAGTTTTTTCCATTCTCTGCCATTTCATTGATCAGTAACTCTTGAGGAGCTAATACAACAAAACAAAATCCAGCACAGCATTTTATTCTCTTGCTCTGCAACTGATAGTCAATAAACTGAACATAAAGAGTAACCCAGAAGTGACACTCAACATGCTTTTGCATATGTGTACACTGAACAGACATTTCACTTCTTATAACTAAGATCTGAACAGTTATAGAAGTCCTAATATAATTAAGAAGCTTATGATTGTTTTAAACTTATTCTCAATAGTTATTCTAGTGGTTTTCTAACGGTTTCAGATTAAAATTTAAAGTCAGTTTGTTCACAGATTAAGAATATCAACAATCAGGACCTTCAGGGCCGGGGATTTAGCTCAGTGGTTCTGCCACCTGCCTTGCAAGCGCAAGGACCTGAGTTCAATCCCCGGTACCAAAAAAAACAAAAACCAAACAAACAAAAAACAAAAAACAAAAAAACAATCAGGACCTTCAAATGTTGACAACATACTGGTTTTACATTCTCTTAATTCATAACTTGGTTTTGCTTTATTCAAAATTTACCTTGTTATTATTTTTACCATTTTATCTTTTAATCTTTCACAGTCCTTTTAACATCATTGGAAAAAAATGGAACACATTACCAAAGCCGTCACAAGTGGTAATACATATGTTTTGAGACCACAGATCAGTTTTATGTAGGAAATAATTTGTTCTTCTTTAAATTTTTTTTTGGTACTGAGAATTGAACTCTGGGCCCATGGTTGTGAGGCAAGTGCTCTACTATTGTGCCACATGTCCAGCCCCTTTTAAATTCTATTTTGAGACAGGATTTTGCCACGTTGCTCAGCTATCCTTTAACTTGAGGTCCTCCTGCCTCAGCCTCCCAAGTAGCTGGGATTACAGGCATGTGCCACCTCACTTAGCTATAGGAAACAATATAATCAACTGATATGGATAGAGAAAACAAAAAAATTCAAATATTAAAGATATGTTAGGTGTACGCTATATCATGTATCATAAATGTTTTTACTTTGAATCACTGTAATATAACATTATAGTATATATAATAACTGATGGCCTATGATTCTGTCATTCTTCAGGTGTTAATAGAACATGTCCAGAGTTTTATAAAAAGACAACTGATAAGAAATAGTTATCATTATCAAAAGTAAAATGTTTGTGCTCCAGGGACATTATTAAGAAAATGCAAAGAAGTCATAGAATGGGAGAATATATTTTCAAATCTCACAAGATGCTGTATTTTCAGCTAGGTGTGGTGATTTAAGCCTGTGATCCCAGCACTTGGGAGGCTGAGGTTCAAAGCCAACCTGGGCTACACAGTGAGATTGTCTCAAAAACAAACAAACACAACCCAAGAAGCTTGTATTGAGTATAATTAACTCTTTGTTTTTCTGTTTTTGGTTCTGGGGATCAAATTTAGGACCTTACGCTTTTGAGGTAGGCATGGTGCCACTGAGGTAAATCTCCAGACTATAATTAACTCTCATAGCTCAATAATAAAAAGCAAATAATTTAGCTAAAAATTAAAATGATATGAATAGATATTTCTCCAAAACAGATACACCAATGGATAAATAAGCACCTGAAAAAATGCTTAACATTTTTACCCATCTAAAAAATACAAACTGAATCACAAGGAGATGTAACCCCATACCTTTCAGGATTGCTATGTTAAGTGATGTGGAAAAATCTGAACCCTTCATACACTGCTGGTGGGAGTATAAAATGATAAAGGTGCTTTAAAAAACAACCTGGTAGTTCCTCAAAGGATAAAACAGAGAAAGTTACCAAGACTGCACAATTCCACCCATAGGTGAAATGAACATTTACATCCATGAGTTGTTGGTAAAAGTTCACAGCACACCGTTCTTCATAGTCAAAAGGTGGATGTTACCAAATGTATATCAACTAACGAACAGATATAAAAAATGTTGGGACTATACAATGAAATATTATTCAGCCAAAAAAAGAAATAAAATCCTAATATAGGCTACAGCAATGATAAACTTTGAAAATACTATATTATGCAAAAGAAATCAGTCAAAAAACACCATGACATATGAACTGTCCAGAACTGGACATACAAAACAACAGAAAGATTAATTAGAGAGAAACGGAGTAGCTGCCAATGTGCTATGTTTCTTTTGGGGGTGACAAAATGTTCTAGAACAGACTGTGGTGATGGTCACAAGGGTGAATATACTGGCACACACTGACTTGTGCAGTTTATTTATTTAATCATCTTTGGGCAGGGCTGGGAAATCAGACCTACTGCCCCACACATGCTAGGTGCGCATTCTACCATTAAAGCACAGCAACGCCCCAAACTGCACTTTTAGTGGGTGAACTGTCTGAGTATAAGGGTATGTGCATTACTTTTTAATGATACTAAGAAAAAGGTCATCAACAGGGAACTCTCATAACCTCCAAATAAACTCACATGAAAGGATAGTACATTTTCCTATTCATTGCTTTTATTATTAATTCTGTATTTCACAGTAGCTCCAAGCTTAAAGTATTCTCATAATCAAGTGGGTCAATTTTTCTATTTTACTGATATTCAGTGACTTTCTGAATTCAAAGTCAGATTTATGAATTTGAAGGTTATATTATTGAGAAATAAACTCAAGAAATCACTTCCCCCGACACCTGCATCGCAGGATTGAACTCAGTGCCTTCAAACTGAGCTACATCCTCAGGCCTTCTTAATTTTACTTGTATTTTTCATTTTTGAGGCAGTGTCAATATTATTAAGTCTTTGACCAGGCTGGGTTTGAACTTGCAATCCTCCTGCCTCAGCCTCCTATAGTGCTGGGATTATAAGTGTTCACCACCATGCCTGGCTAAGAAATCACTTTTTATAAGATTCTTGTATAGCTTTGTTCGCTTATCTATTAAGTGATTTTTTTCCCCAGTGGAAAGGATCAAACCCTGGGCCCTGTACATGCAAAGTAAGCATCCTACCCTGAGTTACATCCATGAACCCTTAAATCCACAATAGTAATTTAAGATTGTATATGCCAGGAATCACGCTAGACTTGTATTTAGTTGATTAAAATGTGACATGGTCATGGATTTGTTAGTTGGTACTATTTTATTCCTTAACTTCTAACTATAATTACCTCTAAAAATACACCTCACACAGTAAAAGAAGTAAAAGATCCTAAGTGCCTGAACAACAACAACAACAAAATTCTTTACTGTACAGAGGATCTCCTCTTCTAGATAAAATTAATCTGTGGAGACCTTTGTATTGTTACCTCGTTTTTCCACGAGCAAATAAACATATCAAAAAGTAGTGCACAGATTTCCATTACCACAGATAGCTTGGAGATGATTACATGATTTACAGCTGAGCCCCACACTTGCACTAGTGCTATCTTAAGCAAGTTTCATTTTATTTCAGGCCTTGATTTTCTGGATCCCCAAAATTATAATAATTGCCACTTTCATAGGATTGTTATTTGTATATAAAACTGTGTGTGCATGCATGTTTGTGAGTATGTGTGTATGTAACTGTATCAATACACCAAAAGGGTAGGAGATACATGAAGCAATCAACCCAGACTGCTGCCTAAACCAGAAAGACAACCTCATAGAACCTGCCTCACTGCTATGGTACCAGTGTTGTTCATTCCACTCTACTGTCTCTAATGGACACTGAGGAGAGGTCATAGATATGAATGAGATAAGGAAAGTCAGTCTGATAGGAAAGGCAAAGGTGCACAGGAGACAAATTTACAAACTTAGGATAGAAGGAAACAGATGTTCTAGGAAGAGCAGATGGAAAAATAATGCATACTTTAGTGGGAAGAAAACAAATTTTCAAGTTTAACAGAACTAGATTTAAATCTCTCAATCTCTCTAAACAGTTTAATTTGTAAAACAGGGATCACACAGCACCTATCAAAAGGCTGCTATAATAAACAAAGTAAGGTGTGTCGAGCACTAATATACTACTTCACCTTTCACATGAACTCAATATACACGAACCATAATGTTGAAGATGACGAGGAAGGAGCTCAGGGGACAACAACTCAGAAGAGCTCACAAAAGCTAGAAGTTTGATTGTACAAAGTTAAGTCACATTTCTCTGAAGATATTGTCAAAGGGCCATGTAGCCCAAGCAACCACAAAAACAAAGTTATTTTGTAAAATGATGTACTAGCACAACATCACTACAGTACTACAGCAGGCTCACAGAATGGATGTCTATCACAAGTCTGGATTTTATTAATAAAACTATCAAGGCAGCTTGAAATTGAATCATACAAAGAACTTAAAGACTTTTTCCACCTTCTAAGTATTTAAAACTTGGAGCTCTACTTAAGTTCTACAAATACTTAAAACTGTGTGGGTTCATATGCAGCCAAGCCCTGTAGGCAATTCCTGTCAAACATTCACCTAAAACACAGTAAATAAAATTTAATTAAAGTGTGGCAGAAAGAAAAGGACTTGATTAAAAAAAAAAAAATCCTAACTCTCCCTCAAAAAAAAAACACCCAAAAACAAAAACACAAAACTGTGATAATAGAACTCATTTCCCCCTATTTACTCTTTCTCACAGTGTCATCTTAAAGAGATAAAAGAATTTCATCCAAAACAACTTGGGTCTATTTGAGGTCACACTCATAACAAAGGTATTGCACAATTATTTGAAGGTTTTGTTTTTAAGATATTGCAACAAGAATTTTTATTTGTACATGTGTTCTTACACAATGTGCTAAAAAAGAACAGCCTACTGACATTTCCTTCTTAAAAATTCTCTTTAGAAAACATAACAAAATAGCCTGAAATTTTGTTTTGTAAGAAAAAACCTAGGGAACTAAGTTATTTTTGTTTTACCACTTAGTTCTTCACCAACAAAATAAATTCAGTTTAGAAACAACTTTTCAAAAACTTGCTACTCCCAAAAAGATGAACTATAATGTAAAGCCAAACAAGCAAAACCACTGGGGTTGTGAACAGTTAAGCAAACAAAAGCATCCAAACTATTCTGCATGTTGACCATTTAGGAAGGGTTAGGGCCAGCCTAAGAACCAAACAAAAGAACCACTAGCACTGATAGTTTTTGGATTTTAACCATTTTTTAAAGGATTTTGCTTTATTCTTTGTTTCAAAAAAGAAAATAAAAATTCTCTTAAAAACATAATTCCTTTAGCTCTTCTTCCCAATCACAGATACTGGAAAACTTTGCCAACCTGCAATGCCTCTGCATTGTTAAGATCTGTCTGAGCAGCTATACAACCACTTATAATTCACTTACTCATTCAAACAAAATTTATCAAGGCCCCATTAGGTCAAGTTATTATTTGAGAAGCCAAATCTCAAGTTTCAAATTGAAGCTCGTTATCAATAATAAACTTTTCCTCACGCTCACAATTATTTCACTCCTTCTTCTCTCTCCTCCAACGTCTTGCCCCATTTTCTCCTTTCTTACTTTCAGCCATTGACTTTGTTTCGCGTTTTTTTAACACAAGAGTAGAGGGAAGGCCCTGAGCTTGATTCCTGGTACAAAAAAAAGAAAGAAGGAAAGGAAGGCAGAGGGAAAATTCCGCAATCCTTCTACTATTAAGCCTACTAAGATACACACACTTTCATTCATGTTAGCATTCTGACTCTCTTTACACCTCACTAGGAAGTGTCCTGTGCTTAGCAAGTCACTATATAGTCTGCTGTGTATCATCCCCTCTCATCTGCTTGGGACTTATTAGCTCCTTCCATTCTCCCTAGGTCTTCAACCTTTCCTCCTTTTTTTTTTGGTGCTGGGGATCGAAGGCGGGTCCTTGCGCTTGCCAGGCAGGCCACCAGACCGCTGAGCTAAATTCCCGGCTACCTTTCCTCCTTTATACTCACCTAGCACTTCCTTTTTTTGTCACCCCCCTCAACCCCACTCTGGGGATTGAACTCAGGACCGTGGGCTTGCAAGGCAGGCGTGGGGCCACTGAGCTAAATCCCCGGTCTCCATTTCTCAATCTTTCTTCAGTACTAAGTTTTCAAGAGCTGCCTACATACAGAGTCCCCACTTCCTCATCACCAAATCTCTTCTTAAACCACAGCAACATGACTTCTGACCCAACATACCTTAATTTCTCTCTGTCAAGATCACTAATATTGCCAAAATCCAAAGGACACATCAAATCAAGCCTCTTACCTTCCCTGAGCACAAGCAATCATACTCTCCATAAAATATTCCCGTCTATTTCTCTGGCTACTCCTTTGACAGCTCTTCCTGCTCTACTTCCTAGAATTCTTCCTGGTCATAGATCCCTTTTTCTGTTTTCTCTGCACTCTCCCTCATGATGGCATCTATTCAGTTAGCCTGAAATACCCTCTATATACTGACAATTCTTTCTCTCAAAAGCAGAATGATGCTCCGCGTGACCGAGTGCTATGAATATTCTGCCTAATGAGAATCAGAAGGGAACTCATAAGCATTCAAGCCTATCTTCACCTATAAAGCATAGTAACATCCAGAAGGAAAGTGACTTGGATAATGTTACAAAACTAGTGACAAATCTAGAAGCAGTACACAGACATTGAATGGCCACTTTTTTTCCCCTAAGACATATGAATTGTACAAATTAATGGATTTCACTGAGGTTATTTCCATCCACATGCATTTCCTGTCCACTCTTCTTCTGGGCAGTATTAATAGTAGTATGGAACATGACAACACGCTGGCAAGATATTCTCTCTTCCAAAACTAAATTTAAGATTATTTTTCTGTGAATTCTGAAAAAGACATGCTCAATCTACATCAAATTGATATTTTGGTTTATAAATCTGATTAGATAACACCCCCTAGAGTCTGCTCAGCTATGTTTAGTAATTCAAATTTCTAAATTCCAATGTAGAGGATCAGAACCTGACATGTGACATCGTACCAAGTTTCAGATGCCTTGAGAGGTCTTAGCTACACAGCTGGCCTATATTTTATCCAGGAAATACCCCCATTTACGGTGCTGCCTATGTTACAAAATAATAACAGTGACTACTTAATTTAGTATGAACACATCCTGTTAACCTTATTCACTATCATCGTTATAAGTGACTCATTTTATAGGCAAACAGGAAAACTTGCTAGCTGGAAGCTCCTAATAATATGTGCTGAACGATTTTGAGGGCTAGAAACACTTGAACTAGATCCCAAACCTAAACTTATCCACCCTATTCTAATGCTGTTTACCTTTTTAGCTCAAAGAACTGTAGTTTAACTCTTGTATAGCTAAACACCACCACTTACTAGTTATGTCTCCTTGAGAAAATAAGACTTTGCATTTCAGCATATTGGAATACAGTGGTTCCTCAATTCAGGAATTAATAATTTGGGAAGATGGCTGCAGTTGTGTTCGCCACCCAATGTGAAGTTCCCCGATGAATGCAAAATTATACCAAACGCTTCTGTTTGAGAACCAAAGTACTAACCCACCTCAGTATTTGTCATTCCTGGTTTTCTGTTTGGAGGACTGGCAAGTAATACAGCGTTCTCTACTTCAAGAGAGATTACACATAAGTATCTCACAGTCACTGGCACTTACTATACAAGGTTAGTTTCTCTAAATGAATGTGAAAATTTTTCAAAATAATCACATGAATAACACTTTGAGTATTCACATGCATACTTACTTTGTATACTTCTGTACTATACAGAGACTATAATATATAATTGATTTTCACAGCTTCCAAAAACAGAAGCATCCTAGACTCAGAAAAATTTTATTTTATGTTGAAAAAGAAAATGAATTATTTTTCATCAATCTAAATATTTTGAGATGTACCAACAGGATAATCTGTTAAATTATTATGGGGTAAAGGGATGTTAGTCTATATGGCTATGGTAAGACACACTGATCATTCATAAGAGAGACACTTCATAATTTAATGAAGTAGTATTAATTTTGGAACTCTGGAATGAAATAATGTCAGTCAGATTCTCGGTGGGGAAAAAAATCTAAAGTATTTCTAGCCTGTTCAAAGGACTCAAGTGTCTTCCAGCAGAAATCTGCCATACGTTCTTGACATTCAGTGGAGCCCGCTTTGTCTGTGGGTGCATGTGTGTGAGTTAGTTTTGTTTCTAAAAATGAGGCTGTTAAAATAAACTTTACAACAAACTAAAAGTGCAAATAAGAGTCAAAATGTATAATTGATAGTTTGTAATAAGAAAAGGTCTAAAGGTATTGGGCAAATGGGAGGGGTAGGGGAAAGGTAAAATGGGAAGAAAAAAATAAGAGAAAAGGAAGAAAATGGAAACAAAGTCTTTGTAAAGAGGGAAGGGTGGAGGGGGAAGGGAGGCTAGGGGAATGGGGAAAAAATAAAAACCAAGACCTGTCATATAAAGGCACAAGATACCAATAATGAATGTAACTGTATTGTATATCTAAAATGTACCAATAAAAGTCAGTTTATAAAAAAAAGTAAACTTTACATAATTGCATTAATTCAAATACCAAATAATTTTCATTGGGAACACATATGTAAACATGACAAATATTTTAAAGGCTGTAACTAGCAGATTTTAAATAAAGCTGAAGTGTTAACATAAGAGGTTGTTATCAAAATGTGTGGTGCTTTTTGGTTTGCTTCTGGCAGAAATGTTTGGAAAGAACTGCTAATATCCACTCACAAAGGTTCTTTGTAGGCTGTACATCCAGTGCTAAGACTATAATACGCCATTCAGTTTAAACATTAGCCACATTTGTAATGCAAAAACAATGCAACCCTAAATTACTTAGTTTCCCAAAGCAAAATAAAAAAGCATTTAAAGATGACATAACAACAACTAAATAAATAATACGAATTGTTGGAGAAATTAACAAAGTGAAAGGGAAAAGAAAGCAGTGAAGCCCTTGATTCTTATTTCTTGACATTATTCTAAAAATAAAAAAACAGTTCTTTTCTTTTTAAGAAAAAGATCTATCTAAATGAATACAGTACTACTTTCTCACAAAAATATTAAGTCACCTTTCCAAATGAAACATTGTTCTTCATACAAGGCAAGAAAGGACAGTGGACTTTATTACACTGCTCAGTAAACATTCTTGCATTCAGAAGTGTCTATCCTTAATTGGATTATTTAACACATTACTTCTGGGTTACCCAAAATAGCTACAGAGTTCCCAACAACATTAAAGTTAAGGAATTGCAATTTACTCCTAGGAACCGAATACAAAATCTAAAATGACCAGTGAAACTTTCTTCGGTCTCACAAAGCACAGCAGTGACTGTTATCAAACCCATCTGACTCCAAGCCAGATACTGATAATAGCATCTATCACATGGTGGTGAGAGTTAAAGAATGTTTTCTGAAAATTCGTAATTTGAGAGGAATATATGAAAAACATTAAACTTTTAAACATACTAACATTTTTGGAAATTAGGCAAAATTAAAACCTCACAATTAGGATACAATTTCAAAGTATTCAAAATCTCCATAATTCACTTAATAGTAGGATATCAGGTTAGAAGGATACACATTTCTGGTCTAAAATCTTCCTAAATTTAGTGAAGTGTAAAACATATTCAGTTTATCATAGGTTTCTAGTCACCAAAAAGGCCACTTTTCACCTGCTCTGTGCATGTGTGTTGGGGGATTGAAACCACAGCCTCGAGGTGTGTTGACGCCCCCAGCTCTAGATCTAATTTTATTTTATTTTATTTTTTGGTACTAGGGATTGAACTCAGGACCTTGCATTTGCAAGGCAGGCGGTGAAACCACTGAGCTAAATCCCCAGCCCTAGATCTAATTTTAAATTAAATATAATTTTAAGTAAAACTCCCAGTTTAAAAACAAAACAAACAAAAAAACAACAGGCATGATTCCTGTTTGGAGAGTCTGATAGATTTTAGAGGTTTCTTCATCTCTTATTTCCATTATGTAAAAACATCATTCTACGATACTTCGTGATTTATTTTCACAGAGAAAATGTACACGTAAAATTACATTTTGGGGGGTTGTTTTTGAGACTAAGTAGCACAGTGATCTTGCCTCATATTACAGCGACACATGCACACTCATGTATAGAGCAACATAACTTAGAAAAGCTGAATCTTGGAAGCAGTCTGTATGCCCATCAACAGGTGAATGGATAAAGAAAATGGGATATACAGATTGATGGACTGATCGATCTATGTATCTATAAGCCATAAAAAAGAACAAATTTGAGTCATTTGTAGGACAATGAATGCTAAAGAGACCACAAAGCTAAATAAATTAGACACAGAAAGTTAAATACTTTATGGTTTCTCTGAGAAACACAAAATATAAATAATGTCAAGAGCAAAATAAAAGACAGATGATAGGAAACAGGGCGGTAAACTTTGTGGAGACTGGGGGCAGGCTGAGGATGGGCAGAAGGGAGGGAAGTGGGGAAAGGAGAAGTAAAAAGGATCAAGATGCATATGTTCCAATCTCCCACAATGAATATACTGGAAACATGCTAAGAAAACAATTGTGCCTGTGCTGAACATATACAGACTTCTTGTCACTATTCCCTAAGTAGCACAACTGTTCACACAACACTTACATTGCATTAGGTATTAGAAAGGATTGAACTGTACAAGAGACAAGTGAGTGCGCTCTGAATCCGAGGTCCTGGAGCTAAACCCCATGGATATCAGGAGACAACTCTACTATAACTGCCTATAAATAGATTTTTAAAATTTATGAGGAGCATGAATACCTTGGCTATTCTCTTGACTGAAGGCCTTCTAAAATCCAGAGACTTTAAAGTTTCTGGAAAGTCCTCTACTCAACAATGAGTGAAGAAATGGTTCATCAAATTAACCAGCTCAACTGTACTGAACTGTTTTTCCCCTTGTGGCACTGGGAGTTGAACTCAGGGCCTTCACAATGATCTACTTCCCCAGTCATTTTTTTATTTTTTATGTTGAGGCAGGGTCTTGGCAAGTCACTAAGTTGCCTAAGCAAGACTCAGAACTGTGATCCTCCTGCCTCAGCATCCCAGAACACTGAAATTATAGGCATGTACCACTATGCCCTGCTTAAGCTTTATTTTGTTTTCATCTAGATCAGATACCAGTATTTGATAAAGCTGATCATTTCTTATAAGTAAAAATTTTCATGTGCTTTTTAAAAGTTAAAAAAAAAATCCTTGGTTTCTTCTGTTTCTTAACTGCTTGGTACTGTCTCTCTCTCTCTCTCTCTCTCTTTTTTTTTTTTTTTTTTTTTTTTTTGGTACCGGGGATTGAACTTTGGACCTTGTGCTTGCGAGGCAGGCGGCGGCGGAACCACTGAGCTAAATACCCGGCCCCTGGAACTGTCTCTAATTTAAAAGAAAAATTATTGAAGTAAAAGATATTTTGTCA